GAAAGATTTCTATTTGTATTATGTCAATTTCTCGAACTTTTTTTTTTTTTTTGTCAGTGTCTTCAGTGTCTCTTAGATTTTTTCTGTCAGCACCATCAGTTCTTGAAATAGTTGAACATTAACCATTTCTTTTTGCTATAGTGCCTCTGTGTATTTCTTCCATCTGTTTTGGATGCTTCCTGCATCATTCAATGAATGTTTTTCCCATAGAATCCTTCAATATTTTAATTTAGATTTGATTTTTTTAAGTTCATTTTGAAAGAAATGCTGAGCATGTTCTTCCATTTTGCTTTTCTAACTCCAGGTCTTAGCATATTTCAGCATAATACTTTACTTTGCCTTCTCAAGCTGCCCTTTTAAAGTTCAGCTTCAACTTGCATCTGAGTAATTGGTGATCTGTGCCACAGTCTTCCCCTGGCCTTGTTTTGACTGATATTGAATTTTTCCACCTCCTCCTCCCACAGTGGTAAATTTGATTTCTTTGTATTCCGCTGGTGAGGTCCGTGTGTTTAGGTTCATGTGTTTAGTTGTTGCTTATATTGTTTAAAAAAAAAAGGTATTTGCAGTGAATAAGTCATTGGTCTTTCAAAATTCAATCATGCTATCTGCAGCATCATTTCCATTATCTAGACAAGGTTATGCATTTACTGATCTTTTTTCTTTGTTTCCAACTGTCCCATTCCAATCACTAGTTTTTATCAATGATCTTGATTCTGTGTTTGATCAATTTCAGATTAAAGTTGTTAAAATTCTTCTATTTCATCATCATTGGCACATGAGTGATGTGTAAATTTGAATAATAATGGCATTAACTGGTCTTCCTTGTAGGCATATGAATATTATCCTACTATAAACAGCATTTTACTTCAAGATTGATCTTGAAATGCTCCTTTTGACCAATGTGATGTCATTTCTCTTCAATTTGTCATTCCCAGAATAGTAAAACACATGACTGTCTGATTCAAAATGGCCAATACCAGATCTTTATGTGTTCCATTTCATTTTTGATGAAATTTTCCTAGATTTATACTTCATACATTTCACGATTCAATGATTAATGGGTGTTTGCAGCTGTTTCTTCTCATTTTGATTTGTATCCCATCAGCAAATGAAGGTCCTGAAAGCTTTGCTCCATTCATATCATTATGGTCACCTCTACTTTGAGGAGGCAGCTCTTCCCTAATAGTATTTTGAGTGCCTTCGTACCAGAGGGACCTAATTTCTGGCACTAAATCTGGCAATGTTCTGCTGATATTTATAAGGTTTTCAGTGACTTTATTCAGAAGTAGTTCACCTCTTCTTCTTCCTAGTCTGTCCTAATCTAGAAGTTCTGCTGAAACCTGTCCACCATAGGTGACCCTGTTGGTATTTAAAATACCGGTGGCAAAACTTCCAGCATCACAGCCTCACACAAGCCATCACAGTAAGACAAACTGACAAATGAGTTGTTGTTGTTGTTAAGTGCCATCAAGTCGGTTCTGACTCATAGTTACCCTGTATAGTGTTTCTAAGGAGCGACTGGTGGGTTTGAACCACCAACCTTGTGGATAGCAGTCCAGTGCTGATCCTACAGCACCACACCAGGGCTCTGAAAAATGAATGGTGGTATGAATGTATAGTAAATATGCATATGTTCAATCTTAGACTTTATCTCTTTACATAAAAGTTAACACGTTCTACCCTTTATTCTACACTTTGTGGTGTTGTTTTTTTTCACTTAATGATACTTTTACAACCTTTCTAAATAATTTATTTTTATTAACTGCTTTTATTTTAAATAAGTTTTGTATTTTAGTTGAAAGTTTACACAGCAAATTAGGTTTCCATTTAACAATATTTATGCAAATTGTTCTATGCCATTGGTTACAATTTTTATAATGTGTCAACAGTCACATTATTTCTACTCTCTCTGTTCTGTTTTCGTTGATCTAGCTTTCCTTCTTCTTGCCTTCTCATCTTTGCTTTTGGGTAAATGTTATCTTTAATCTAATATAATTGATGGTTTAATGGAGCACATTACTCACAGGTAACATTGTATTTTATAAACCAATCTATTATTTGACTAAAAGTTGACATCCAGAAATAGCTTCAGTTCAAAGGGTGTGAGTTTCCATTTATATGTGATTCTAAACCCCGTAAAATCTGTAATAAAGAAAATCACTTGTTGACTGCAGATGCTTAGACGAACCAACATTTTAAGGGGAAAGAAAGTTCTATATCTTGATTCTTGTGGTGTATGCACAGGTGTGTATATTTGTCAAAGTGTGTCATCCTGTATTTTTTAAATGGGTGTATTTTATTATATGTAAATTATACCTCAACTTAAAAAAATTAGTATCCTCTACAACCTTTCCTATATAGTTCTGCTTTCTGAAACTTTTCTCTCTTTGCCTTAAATTTAGACATAAGCTGTTCCTTCCTCTTAATTTATAGTATTTGTTTGGTCTTTTTTCTTTCGTTCCTACTAGGCTATACTCTTTATTTATCTTTGCTTATCCAACAGTGCCTTATTCATTGTAATCTTTCAATAGATGTTTGTTAAACTGAGTTGGTTTCACACACAGAATGAGTTATCTTTATTGCTGTGATCACCATTCTGAAGTCTTGAAATAATTTAGTCCTGGAAATCAGCAAGACCAAGGCTGTAAAGCAGCTAACTAAGCAGGGAGTCCTTGCTTTTATTTTAGGGTAGTTCCATTTTATATTTTGTGGCATTGGGTGATAGACACACACCTCAGAGTCCTGGGAAGTTGTCTTTTAGGCACAGCACCCACTTCATTGCAAAGGCCCGGGGGATTTATGTAACTTAAGTAACAATGTTTTTGATCTCAGTAAAGAAAGAAAATTTGATAGAATCACAGAAACTTAGGGCTAGCAGGTATCATTGATGTCATTCACTGTAATCCATTATTATACAGACTAAGATAGGGCAAGTAAACTGCCGAGCACCCACCACATAGTAAATAAGAGGCAGAGTTCAAACAAGCCAACATTTTAGAGGGATAGATTTGGCAGAAACCTGATTACCAACTGTTGGGTAATCAGGTTTCTGCCAAATCTCATACCCAGAAATTTAACAGTAGTGGAGAATTGGCAGTGTGTGGAAGCTGAAATGAATTGTGCTAGACAAGGCTTTCTTTGGGTTGCAATTTGGAGCTTAGAAGCAAGCAGACTAGGTAAAGAAAAGAGCAAGGCAGGGGCCAGCTGTCATTACCAGGAAGCTAAACTGGAGCCTTAGAGTAGGACCAGGAGATGATTTATGTTTCCCTGGAGATGTCTTTGCTTTATTTATCACTTCAGAAGCACCGACTTCATCTGTAATTGGAATCTATTTTATATACTTCTCAGTGGATTTTCTACAGTAAAGATATACTGTTGCTTATTAAGTTGTTAGTATATAACCTAGAATGTTGCTAAATTCTACAGAAATGTTGGGAGTCTTGGTGTGGCACTGTAGGATAAGCACTCGACCGCAAGGATGGTTTGAACTGTTAGGTCGGCAGTTCATGCTCACCAGCTCCTTCCTCCTTGTAAATCCTCATGCAAGGGTTGCTATGGGTCAGAACAGACTCAAGAGCACTTCACAACCACAATAACATAGGAATGTTAAGACAATCTAAATGGAGTGTGTCTTTCTCTTTCAAGCCTTCCTTTATTTCCTCTGTTTCTTGGCAAATTTGTGGGGGTTGTTGTTGTGAAGTGCCTTTGAGTCTGCTCAGACTCATTTGACCCTATATAGGGTTTCCAAGGAATGGCTGGTTCATAGCGACCTTGTATAGGGCTTCTGAGGACCAACTGTTTGCATCGTCGACCTTGTGGTTTGAACCAACCTTGCAATCCAGCGCATTAATCCCCAACCCCACTCCAATAAATGCCATCAAGTCAGTTCCAACTCATGGCTACCCTTTGTAGGGTTGCTGAGGCTGAAAATCTTTACGGTAGCAGAAAGCCTCATCTTTCTCCCTCAGAGCAGCTGGTAGATTCGAACTGGTGTCCTTATGTTAGGATCCCAGCTCATAATCCACTACATTACCAGAGCTCCTTTTTTATGGGGATAGAGGAGGGTAACAGTTAAAATTTGCATTTCATTTTGTTAAGAACAGTATCATTTCTAGTGGTCATTTTTATTGTTTTAATGAACGATGTTAAGATACGTAAGGTAGTTTTGAAAATTGCAGCAAAGCATGCTCCTTATATGGATTCTTTGAATGAAGAATAAAGGTGTGGATGGTGATGATGAAGGACTAGAGGCTACAGCTATTTCATGTATTCTCCACTTAATATGTGGATACAGCCTCCAAATTTTACAAAGAAAATAATCATCAGCCCAGCATCTCTGCTTTCCAGTGTATGGGTATTTTTGTAAGGCAGCCTCTTGATTTCCTTAGTAAAAGTGTTTTATTTTAAACTATATCTCTAGGACTACTCCTGGTAGGCCTGAGAAACTGTAGATTACTTCATGTCTCTTCAAAATTCCTCTCCAAAAAGCCAAGACTAGCTTGATTTGTGTTTTTGAAATAGAGGAAAGTAGTCAAGTAGGAGAAAGGAAAAAGTCTTAACTTCGCTTTGGTGGAGAGAAAAAAGCCTCTTTCAGTCCTTTGTTGATACCTCAGCTTCTGCATTAGTCATAGGTCCTTTCCTCTCTGGCCAACATGAACCAAAGAAATAGCAGCCATTTGCAAGTTTGTACAGGGGCAGTGCAAAAAGAACAAAACAGGTGATTCATGCCACTAGTATGGGGCTAAGATAAAAACTGAAGGGATCCAGATTTTTCATTACCCCTTTGGGTTTACTTTGAGTACTAGCAAATTGATTAGTCAATCTATAAGTACTTTCAAGGTACCAGGATTAAGTAAGACGAATATATAATACCAAGTATTGTACTTTAGGCAAAAATAATTGTATTTCAACCAGTGTATTTTCAGCTTATAATTTTGTCATGCATCTCAAATTACAGTGGTCAAGCATTTCCGTTAAATAGCTCTCCATTTGTTTTGTAGGAAAAGATGGTGTAAACTGGTTCATCAGTGACAAAGACATGGAGGTAAAATCAACTTGTTTTTGATATTCTGAGTAATACTTTAATAATTTCCTTTGATTCATATTTTCCTTTTATTATAACTATTGGAAGAATAATAAAGTTTAGTTTTTGTTTTTGAATTAACAGTGATCCAAATGGCTTATAAGAAAAAGTTTGATTTTATTATATGGGTGATGTAACTTTTCAGAAGCTGGGTTCAGCCTTGATTTTTGCCAATGAGTAGCCATAATGATTAGTTTCCTTCCCCTTCTGTTTCTGCTCTGCCATGGTGAGTCCTCCTCAGCCCATGTGGCCTGGTACCACTAAAGACCAACCCCGGAAATAACCACTTCTTCAGTGGAAGGAAATGGTTAGTCTATATTTAGGATGTGACAGATGTTCATCGTTTCATTTATTAGCTTTAATCATGGCAGATACTACAAAAAAGAGAAGAATTTATAATTTGGTAGAAGAAAAGTTTCAAGCGATAACTAGAATGTATTTCCTTAGGGTGTATTTGGCCAATTTACTAGAATAACAAGTAAAGGATAAAAGCTTTTTCAAAGATGGAATTCTACCAAGTAAAGTAAAAATATTAGAAGTCACATCTCCTTAGATATTCCATAGGATATACTTGGCTAATATTCTTTTATGAGATACTGAATTTGAGCTAGAATTATACAACAGCTAGAATTGGATCACTGTGTAGGCAGACAGAATCAATCTTTTTAAAAAAGTAGGAGGAGACTATCTCCTTCCCTTTTATACGTTATAATCCAATTTTGCAGACAGAACCTTGGGTTGTTCAAAAGAAAGAATGTATTCAATAGCTGTAGGGTTTTATGATTTTATAGTAAAATTTTTACAGGGACACTGTACCCTGAAAAAATGTAAACGGGCTTCCTTCTGAAACATATAGTGCATATTCGTTATCATAATATAGTGATGTTAATATAGTATATAGTCATTAACAACCTGCGATATGCAGATGATACAACCTTGCTTGCTGAAAGTGAAGAGGACTTAAAACATTTACTGATGAAGATCAAAGAGCACAGCCTTCGGTATGGATTACATCTCAGTGTAAAGAAAACACAAATCCTCACCACTGGACCCATAAACAACATTCTTATCAATGGAGAAAAGAAGTGATCAAGGACTTCATTCTTCTTGGATCAACTATGAACACTTATGGAAGCAGCAGTCAAGAAATCAAACGATGTATTGCCATTAGGCAAATCTGCTACACAAGACCTTTTTAAAGTGTTGAAGAGCAAAGATGTCAGCATAAGGACTAAGGTGCGCCTGACCCAAGCCATGGTATTTTCAGTAACCTCATATGCATGCAAAAGCTGGACAGTGAATAAGGAAGACCGTAGAAGAATTGATGTTTTTGAATTATGGTGTTGGAGGAGAATACTGAAAGTGCCATGGGCTGCCAAAAGAACCAATAGATCCATTTTGGAAGAAGTGCAGCCAGAATGCTTCCTGGAGGCCAAGATGGCCAAACTTCGTCTCTCATACTTCGGATATATTGTCAGGAGAGGCCAGTCGCCGGAGAAGGCTATCATATTTGGTAAGGTGGAGGATCAGAGAAAAAGAGGAAGACCCCCAACGAGATGGATTGGCCAAGTGGCAGTATCGATGGACTCAAGCGTGGCAACAGTAGTGAGGTTGGTCCAGGGTCAAGCGGTGTTTCGTTCTGCTGTGCATAAGGTCGCTATGGGTCGGTACTGACTCAATGGCACCTAACAACAACAAGTATATAGTCATTATCATCTTTGGCTCTGAATGGCACCAATATGTCTAAATGATATTTATAAGCACCCCTACTAAACGTGAGCCATAAGTAGAGAAAGATACAAAATAAGAGGACCCATAAGGAAAAGAACTATAAAAGAATGGGGAGTTGGTGCTTACAAATTAAAATAGAGTTATCTTCCTGGCACCCCTTTTTAAGTTTTTCTACCTCTTTTTAAGAGAATGTGAATTTCCCTGTTGCTAGATTCTAAAATGAAGAGACAGTGGCTTTTATTCTTTTGCCTTATTAAGGTAATATAACTGATTTGGAGTTTGATGTTTCTTTAGTCTTCTCATTGAAAATTGCCTTAGAGAGATATTACATAGGTTGGTTTTTATTAAAGAATAAAAATAATATTCCTTTTAATTATTCTTTTTTTTTAACCCCCCCTTTAGGCCCAGATAGGTAATAATAGATCATCTGGAAGATGGACTCACCGATACTATTCAGTCAACAAAAATGTTACCTGTAGAAACTGTGACAAATGTGGCCATTTGTCAAAAAACTGTCCCCTTCCACAAGTATGTGAAATATATAATGTTTCATTTCATATTGTAAAATCATAAAATGTTAGTGTTGATATCCTATAACATTAAAACTCAACTGTTTTGTAATATACATGTTAAATTTCATGTAGCTCATAGCAGTGTAGTAGAAAGATACAAACTTAGAATCAGAGAAACTTGGGATCAATTTCAGCTGCCCAGTACTAGTTGTATGGCCCTCTCTCTGTCTGTTTTCTTATGTATACTATAATATGAGAAGATTGAATCAGATGATTTCTGAGACCCCCTTTCACTTCTCAAACTTCTATTTTATGAGACAACTTATTTCATAGGGTAATACTCACTGACAGAAAAAGGCATTTATAAATGGCTATTGGTGTAAATTATGTTAAGCAGATATATCAACTCTTGGAACAACACAGAAGTAAAGCTCTTAAACGTTGCCTGACACATAATAAGCTCTTAACAAACATTCCTTCCATGACCTACTCTCTCTTCCAAATGACTGTCTTTCAGATATTTGAGACAGCTCTTGTGTTTCCTCTTTGTCTTTGCTTCTCCAGGCAAAACAGCTCCTTTCTGTATCTGTTTAGCGTCCAGATCCTCATCATCCTACTTTCCCTCTTAGACGCCTCCACTTTGTCAGTGTTCCTGTAAGACATTCCCTAAGAAATAGATGCCAACTCGCACATGCACACTGAGCCTTTTTGGCAACCAGGTATATAGATGTCATGGATTAAAACTCTAATTTCAGATGTTTTATTTGATTTTATAATTATGCTCAAGACTGAACCTTCATTGGGGACTCTAGTTAGAAATAACTTTTTATGGGATTTTATAAGAAAAAAAAAATTAATCTTCTGCGATTTGAGATTAGAATGTTTTGCTAAAGAGATCTCTGTTTATCTGCCAAATAGAAAGCCCGCTCCTGCTGCCTCTGTTCTGAGAGAGGACACCTCCAGTATGCCTGTCCAGCCCGCTTTTGCTTAGACTGTTTTTTGCCCATGTCTTCCACTCACAGATGTCTTGAAAGATCTTCGTGGAGAAAACGATGTGATAGATGTGATATGATAGGTCACTATGCTGATGTAAGTATCCTGCATATAAATAGTTTGGCAATTTGGGGAGCAGTGTGCCAGTTTGTAACAGTCAGCCTACCTAAAAGAATGTTTACTCTGTGCTTTATGGAATGGTAGCCATGTCCCTCATGTAAAGCAGTGTTCGAATATTTCAGAATGGTTTAGAAGCACATACAAATAGTGTAAGCCCCTTTGCTTAATGTGTCAGCCAAATAAAGGTGGAAATTAAAGATGTATGTAGTAAATAACATGTAAAATGTATGTCTATATTCATGCATATTTAGATGCAAATATAGAAAAAACACATAGCAATTTAATACACATATATAAATGAAGCATATCTTGATGCTGTTTATCAGTAGTTGTCACTGATCTAAGTCAAACAGGATAAACTATCCAATGCTTATTTATATTTTCTTTTCTCAGCATTTTCTTTACATTAAAAAATAAACAGCGGTAATCTAGAAGACAATTCTGTATGTGCAGCACAGTAAAAATGTTACTTTGATATTGCTTTGCATCATGTTGTAAATATGTCTGTGGTTCTGGTCACAAGAATTTCATAGACCAGGAGGATGGTTGAGGTAACTCAGCTCTGATGTGGAAAATACATTTTCCATTCAGTTTTCCTAACTCCTAGTGAATGTTTCATTAAATGTCTGTCATTTAGCTCTTAATTTTATCTCTTACTACATAGTAACATATGTTTATTTTATATTGCCAGCTAATCAGTACCAAGTCATTTTTCATACTCATACCTAGGTGCCTATCATAATTGGTTTAAGGGACATGTTTTCATTTTTCTAAACATCACTTTCCTAGTTAAAATATGTATATAAGATTTCTTTTTCTTTAATTTGCTCTTTCTAAAATCATAAATATTTTTCTAATTTTTATTTATATTGAAATATAAACAAATACAGTCATACTATATACACTGTCCTTCAACTTGACTTTTTTCCAATTAGCTATTCATGACTCTCTCTTAGTATCGGCTCATAAAGATCTACCTTTCTAATGAATGAACTTTTATTCCATTGTATAGATACACTAACTTACAAAACCATTTCCTAGCAATAAAGTTAGTTTAGATTATATCCTGATTTTTTAAAGCAAGCAGTGCTGAAGAGTGAGTGTGTATATAAGTATTTCAGTTAAGTTAAAATCTGTAAATGGAATTATGTAAATAAGTGTAAATATTAACATTTGGATTGATATTGCCAAGTTACTCTTCTAAAAGATCTATCAGTGTGCCCCAAGCAGCAGTGTTGAAGAGTGCTCATTTCTCTACACTCTGATGAGCACTAAGGATCAATCTTTTACAATGTTGACCATTCAGATGAAGAGGAGATGATAACTTATTGTTTTAGTGATGCTGAATATAATTAATTTGTTTGAATATTTTAGTTCACAAGGTTTCAGTTGTAATTTCATTCCAAAGTAGCTTAAACTTACTTTTAGATATTTACAGGTGTCCTGGTGTGGTGCTGTGAGATAAAGCACTGGACCACAAGGTTGGTTTGAACCACCAAATCAGTGGTTCAAATTCACCAGCCACTCATTGGAAATCCAATACAGGGTCACCATGAGTTCGAACCAACTTGTTGGGACTTAACAACAGCGAAAACAGATGTTTACCAAGTGTTAAAAATAATAAATCCTAAGTTTTATGCTGTTGCTGTCTGCATTAAGTTTTCAATAATAATTTTCTAAGAAAGATTTTTCCAGTGTGGCATTGTATTTATATATAGCACCCAGCAGTTGTGAAAGGATATGTAATCCACTCAGAGTAACATCTGTAGTTCATACTCTATAACTTCATTTTGGCATCTAATATATATTAACACAGCTCTGGTACCATAGTGATTATGAATTGGGCTGCTCACCTCAAGGTTGGCCGTTCGAAACTACCAGCAGTTCCGCGGGAGAAAGATGAGGATTTCTGTTCCCATAAAGGTTTACAGCCTCGGAAATTCTATGCAGGATCACTGTGAGTTGGATCAGTTTTCCATTCAGCAATTCATGCATCTTTTGTTTCCTGTGATTGATTGCAACTCCTACCATGTAACAGCACTTATCTCACTTGCGCTGTATTTTCCATTTCTATTCCTCCTCTTTTTCTAACCCTTCTGAACTTTGTCCTTGGGTAAATGATTGTCCTTGAGTATTATCCTTGGGATTATTCACAGGTGTGTGCCTCACTAGTATTATTGTTCTCTTTATAGACCTGTCTGTTGTTTGTCTGAAAATTGAGCCATGAGGGTGCATTCATTTCTAGACTTGAAGGGTGACTAAGAACTATAGTCTTGGAAGTTCCACCTATTCTACTAGACCAGTAAGCCTGATCTTTTGTTGAGTTGTGCTCCACATTATTCTCTTACTATATCAGGGACCTTCTAATATGATCCCTTTCAGAGTAATTGGTAGGAATAGCTGGACACCATCCAGTTCTTTTGGTGTCAGGGTCACGGAGGCTGGCATTCATGTGGTCTATTCACACCCACACGTACTCATGGGCATGGTCCCTCTCTCCCTCCCACCACCATTCATCCTGCATGTCTGTCCCTGAATCCACTCGCGCATCACTGATTGTGTATGTAACAGTGTTGGTCTCTGTTGTCTTGAACTCTTGCACTCCTCCCAGTGTCATGCTCTCACTCCATCATTTTTTGCTGACCTCCTTCTGTCTATTGCCTTCCCCAAGTTAGTGTGTCTCTCCTCTAGTAGGTAATTTACCCTCTCTTCTCCTACTACACCTGGTAACCCTCAAAGAATGTTTCTCTTAGTGTGAAAACTTTTTCTTGACTTTTTGAAATTGTGGTCTCATACAATATTTGCCCTTTTATAGTTGACTGATTTCACTCAGCATAATGTTCTCCAGATTCATCCGTGTTGTAAGGTATTTCATAGGTTCCTGTTGTTGTTAAGTACTATTGAATTGGTTCTGACTCATAGCGACCCTGTATAGGGTTTCCAAGGAGCTGCTGTTGAATTTGAACCTCTGACCTTGAGTTTAGCAGCCCAGGGCTTATACTTCCGCATGACACCAGGACTCCTAAGCTAGTCTTTAATGTTGCATAGTATTCTATTGTGTGTATATGCCAGTTTTTTTTAACCATTCTTCCTTTGGTAGTTGTTTCCATCTTTTTGCTATTATGAATAATGCTGCAGTGAACACAGGTGTGTATGTCTATTCATGTCATGTCTTATTTCTTTAGAGTATATACCAAATAGTGGGATTGCTGGGTCATGTGGTTTTTTTACTTCCAGCTTCTTAAACAAGTGCCATGGAGTTGGTCCTTTAGGATAAATACTGGACTGCTAACGACCACTCCTTGGAAACCCTTTATAGGGTTAATGTGAGTCAGAATGACTTGAAGGCACTTAACAACAACAAGGAAGCACCATATTAAGTCAGATTTTTAAATGCAATGGGAGAAAACAATTCAGAAACATATTCCACTTGAGACCCTTTAAAAATATTGGGTGCTAGAAAAAAAAAATTGCTCTTTTGAATATAATTGTACAATAGAATATTTGTGGCTACACCGAAGTTTATTTTTAAAAGGAGAGTTCACTCAGCCGTAAAGAAAAATGAAGCCCTAATACATAGATGAACTGTGAAAACATGCTGAGTGAAATGTCAGGTATAAAAGGACAAATATTGTATGATTCTACTTAAATATAAAGGTAAGTAAAAAAATATTGTTGTCAAAGAATACAAACATTCATTAAACAAAAATATCAAAATGTGAAGCTAGTATTTCTCAACATACGCTTCAACTAGGTCTTTTGAGGGGCTTCAAAATGTTAGTGGGAAAAATCCATTATCTTTCAATCCATTTTCCCACAGACTTTTTGAAACTCCCTTGTGTACTTCTTAAGTCAATTTTCCCATCTCTCTAACCCTTCCCCCAAAGAATGCTGCACTCTTTGGTTTACACCACCACAAAATGGCAGTTTGGACATCCTCAAGGGACTCTAATCATTTGCCTTTTAAAGATTCAGAGTTTTGGTAATAAAAAAGAACTCCGACGGGGCAAGATCAGGGCTATAGGGTGATTGGGGTAAGGTTTCCCAGTGAAATTCTTTTAGGACAGTCCTTGGTCCCCTCAAGAATGAGTAGGTGCATTGTTGTGATGGAAAAAATAAAAGTTCTTTAGCACGACTTTCTTGGCCTTTTACTTACCAATGCAGTTTTCAGTTTTCTTAAAACTTCTCCTAAAAAGTCCCCATGATTGTCCTGTGTCATTCACTGTCAAGATTACCCCTTGAAAATCCCACAAAACAGTTACCATAACCTTCTGAACTGCCCTTTCTGCCTTGAATTTAACTGGCCCAGCAGATACCCTCAGAAGCTACTGTTTTGATTGCATCTTTTTCTTAAAGGTACCCTAAGGACACTAGGAGTCCTGGTGTGGTGCTGTGGGTTAATGCACCAGACTGCAAAGCCGTTTGAACTTCAAGGTCAGCAGCTCAAGCTCAATAGCTGCTCCTCAGAAACCCTATACAGGGTCGCTATGGGTCGGAATCGATTTAACGGCACTCAACAACAAGGACACTAAGACAAGTGTCTTACTGAGAGAACTTTTCTGAAGCCATCCACTGATCACAGGGACATGTTTAAACAGGTTCTATTTAGAATACGCCCATGAATGAATGAACTGAAACCCTAGTATCAATACTTTTTTGCCTTATTCCCATATAATAGTCATAATAGGCCAATGTATAGACACTAAAGTTTATTAGTGGTCACCAGGTAGTGGTGGTGGTGATATGCCATGGAGTCAGTTCCAATTCATAGCAACCCTGCATAGGATTGGTGAGCCTGTAAATCTTTATGGGAGTAGAAAGCTTCATCTTTCTCCGGCAGAACAACTGGTAGTTTCAAACTGCCGACCTTGAAGTTAGCAGCCCAATTCATAACCACTACACTACCAGAGCTCCTTAGTGGTCATCATGAGGGGTACATATTAAAAATATCTATGAATGGATCATGGCGATTGTTG